ACATTCGGTGGGCGGATTAAATTCATCTAAACGATCTGCGTGGCCAGGCAATTAAGGCTGCTACACAGACATAAGCGCGTAGGAAGAAACGCCTTAAAAAGGGAGAGCCATTCATCATTCAAGAACTACAAGATGCCCAGTTTCAAGACACGATGAATTGTTGTGAGATTAATAGTGTTTTGTGAAATAAAATGGGTTGATGATGGGGACTTCATTGATCAATACGGTGCGGCACGCATTAGAATGGCCAGATATAAATAGATGAAATTCTCAACTTTTGCTTGCTTTTCATTGGAGCAAAATAATGCAACCGCCATTCGCGCACGCTGCCTTTTTGGGATCAGAGACACAGAATCCATGATTATGGCAAAATATTGATTGGCGCCATTTAATGGCAGCAACACTGCCCACATCCGCTGCCTTGAACACTGGCTAGCTCTGCTGCCCCCAACTTCCCAACTCCAGCCTCATCAACTGGCATTCTCAGTTGAAATGAGGAATCAAATAGTTCCAGATGGTGATTTAGGTTTCTCGGCATTTTGTAGCAAAAGTATTAGTGGACGGATATGAACTAATATGGATTCAGTGTATATGTTGATAGGGCAATGTAACCTGGCTTGCATTTCGTTTCTGTTTTGATATAGCATGCGTTTGAGTAAGAGTGAGCATGGCCATGATGTGTGAGGACTGCAACTCCTTTTATATTGCACATATATATATATATATATATCTATACTACAAAACTAGTTCTCTAGGCTCCGTTGATATTCTAACGCCAGTTTCTCCCGAGCGCGACCCCGCACAACAGTTCCATGGGCCTCCTCCTGCATGGTTGAGAAGAGCAGATTTGGCCGGGAGCAGGAGCACCTTCCCCTCACAAACATTGCACTCAACCAGAACCAGTACCAAGCGGAGATTACTATGAGGGAAAGACATGCACGCAACTTGACCTAGTGGCTTTGACTCAGTTTCCTGAATAGTGGTGGATTACGAGACCGTGCTTTTCGCGATTATAGTCAACTCTGAGGATATAGCCTACAGTAAGGGGAGAATCATCTCAAGCAATCAGTCACTAATCATACCACGTCTATGTATCGTACTCTGGATGCTATGTTCGGCAGTCGCGATCTGCATCTCATGGGCGCAGACGCGGACCGTGTACGCTCAGAGTATGACTTTTGAATTCCATGATGGAAGGTGGAGTGAAGGTGACACCCTGTACTTTGCAGATTCCGCAGTGCTTTTGCCCGGTGGAGTACGCTTTCAGCTCCTCGCGGTGGACGCTCTCGATATGGTTCCAGAACTTGTTCGTGCGCTCCCGGACCTTCATCCGCTCCCCCCAAGGCAACGAAATATCAGCGACGCAGAATGGGCACTGCTTTTCGCCCAGCTTCGCCGGAATGGATCCTTTCGCCCGCACGGTGTCTAGGGGCGGGTCAAGTTGGAAATCTCGCTGGGACGGCTGCTGTTTCTTGTGACGGCCCCGACGCTGAACCTCCTTCCGGCGCTGCAGCTTGAACCAGACGATGATGCACGCACACCGGCGCCCGAACTGCTCATCCTCAGTCAGTTCCTGAGTGCCAGTGCACGTCAGTTCGACGACCCGTCTCCGTTCCGAGATCTGAAGTGGTGGCGGGGCCGGACACTCATCCAGAGACCCACCGCCCGCGCCGTTGCGGAGTCGCTGGTTGAATCGCTCCGTATCAGCATGCCGGAAGTGCCACCGCCTCTGCCGCTCAATAAGCTTGGAGTGAAGGTAAACTTTGCTGCGGTTCAGCCGGGAAACCACCTTCATCTTCTCTTCGTACAGTGGAGTTTTGCCCCGCGCTGCCGGCACGGAACGGAATCCCATCGCCCTCAGCTTCCGGGTCAGCTCTTTACTACGCTCGGTAAGCTCTATGATCTTTGGATTCTCGGTGATCTTTCTTTTCAGCTCGTCAGTAAGTTCCGTCGGGGCAGTGGCGTCGGCGTTCAAGAACAGCCCATGGGCTGCTTTCTGGACCACATCATTGAACGGAAGCTCCATGGCCGCGGCTTCCAGATCGAAGCGGATGACTGTGTCCAGATAGTACTGTACCGCATTGGATTCGTGATCAGCTACTTGATCCCGAACGGAGGACGGAGCTTTGTCTGCGGATCCGGTAGGTCAGTGGTTAGTCTGGCCAGAGGGAATGGGAAGAAAGAGAGGATAGATGAAGGGACCAAGGAGAGTAGTGAGGCAGGCACATACTGTTGATGGCGTTGATGAGAGAGCGTCGCCAGACATACTGGATCAGACTATACTTGAGCCCAGCCACCAGGCGAAGGTGTCTGAGGTAGCCGCTCCATGTAGATCCTTTGAGCGGCGTCTTCTCTGATGTTCGATACCCATCGCCCGTGCGTTCCGGCTGGCGGAACACCGGCACGTCCAGCATCTCTGCCTTGATCTTTAGGCTCATACCGCCTAGGTAGGACGGGATGGGATACCAGTAGATGTCTTCAAGCTTCTCGAATTCGGGCGCGAAGATCTCGTCATCTATTGCCATGGAGAGAAAGTGCCCCAGAAGATCCAGGAGCGGCTCCGGATTATGACTGATGATGAATGTTTTCCTGCATTGTCAGTCAGTCGATGAAGCGTAATGCAGTACGGGGGTTGAGAAGAGAGAAAGTTGCATAGCTACACTCACAGCTTCTTGTCTTCACCCTTGGTGTGGAGGAGTGTGACCTTGGCCAGGAGAATGTTTGGCCGGCCAGCCACAGGGCTCTGAATGATGTGGAAGCCGACATGCCGCCAGACAATGGCCCCAGTCTCCTCAGGGCCCGCATCATACTCGTCATCTGTCACGTCCTCTATGAAGCGGTCAAGTTCACTGATGTCATTGTCGGCGGACGTATCGCTGGTGCAGCCGCTCTCCACTGACTCTGCACTCGACTCGGTGTCGGTATCGTTTTCTCGCACGAGCTCGCCAAACAGGGGTTCCTCGAAGCTGCCGCTAGTGCTGTCACTCTCTTCATCAACATACCCTGAGTCAGAGTCCGTATCATTGCTCATATGACTATCCATGTCGCTATCCAGGGGATCGTACATAACGTCTTCACCGCGCATCCCGTATTTGCCGCAGGACGCTTCTTCTCGGGCGGAGTGACAGCTTTTTCAGAGAGCCATGATTCGTGCCTTCTTTGTGTCGCGATATTCCTCATCATCATCGGAAAGAGCCCACTTGCGTTTCTCTAGTGCTATGGGTCTGTTCCCGTGCTGGCCGATCCCGGATCCCGCCGTTGGGTAGCGATCGGGGGTGGGCCCTGTGGCTCGGGGACGGTGACGCCGACGGTTGGTCCTGTTCTTTGAGCCCCTGCTCGCTGTGTGCGACACTCCCTTTGACTGTCCGTCTCCGGCTTCCGCATCACCGGTTTTGATCCGGGTGTCGAACAGCGAGACCAGCCTGGCACCGGAGATGAAGGACAAGAGGATACCTGCAGCAATGTAGAGTCGCTGCTTCTCATTGGCATACGCCTTCGTACACCGCGTCCAATGGGCGTGGAGGATGCGGTACACATCGTCCTTGGTGCCAGACGTGCCCCTCCTCCGCCGTCGCCGGAGACCCCATCTCTTGATCACGACGTTCTTATACTGTGTAGGGCACCCATCAGCTGGAGCAACGTCAGTCACTTGGATGAGCTTACATTCAGACAATTCTGTTCCATCCCGCTGTCCATGCCATGGCCAGTGCGCTCCACATACAGGATCTTCAGGACCCGCCAGTAAGAGTCAAAGGCCGATGCTGCCTTGATGCTGTTCCGGTGGGTGTCCTCGACCCAGTCAAAATATGTCTTGACTCGGCCCGCCGTCAGATTCTCAAGGAATTCCTCTTCCGTAGTCTTCAGTTCAGCATAGCAGAAGCTTTTCTCTGTAAGAAGGTAAATTCAATTTCCTTACAGAAATCAACACTTACTGTTGAACTTTCCGCCGGACCGTCCCCACACTTTTCTGAGAATTTGCGGCGTAGATTCTGGATGTGCGGCCAGCGGCCTCATGTTGTTCCAATATGGCTCTGTAGTTCGGCTTTCTGGGTGAATCCAGGCGACCCGCTGTGTGTGATCTGCCAGCTTTCGGCACTTTGGGCCTCCCAATTGGCATAATGTTCAGTGGGCGTGTGAGGCTGTCGCTGATGTGTAGGTAGATAGAAAAGAGATTCTATGAAGGAAGGCCGGGGTAGACCAGCCCTCTGCAAGGGAGTTGGGGCGGATAGGAGGAGGACTGGTGACTTGGGTATAATGAGTTGCAGAGGAACCAACGGCAACAGAAGGCAAAGGGAGGAGGGAGAGGGGTGGGAGACATGATGGTATTTATAGAATGGGGAATCCAGGACTATCCCGGCGGCCATCATGGTTGAAGGGTTGAGCGCCAGAAACGGCGCGCTCCAGCTGGGTGAATGGGTGAGTGAGTGGGTGAGCGATTCGCGAGCAGTCGCGCGAGCAGAAGGTGAGGCTGTGGACCTGGCTGCGGGCGTTAAATGGGTATCCCAAAAAGCGGCGACAGGTGGATTCCAGATTGGGTCTAGTGGCGACTAGTGTGGGTGCGAATCCGGGGTGCATGGACGGCCGGAAGCAGCTCAACCGGCTGCCACTTCCGGCCGCCGTGGCCCTCAAAGTTGGATTCTAGATGTAATTCATGATCCCATCAGGCAGTTTATCATCATCATCATCATTGCCATTAGAGAATCTTTCAAACATCAATATTATTATCAAAATCTGAAGCTTTTATAATAGGCGCAACGGAGATATCTATTTTAGAAAATAGCAACGTGGTAATAGAAGGGTATAGAACATACTGAAATCAATGAAAATGAATGTAACATTAAATACTGTCAACAATGCATGAATTATCATATTCTTTATCATTTATATAAGACTTGCTGATATTCATATATTTTAGAAGATCAGTGATTAGTTTTGAATAATAAAAATTGCTATCTTTTTACAATTTTTATACATACATCACATTGTCCATTAGTAATTCTTGTAATTTATTTTTTATAATTTTAATCACTTTGAAACCTCATCTGAATGATCTCTTGTTATACACATTTTACAATGAGATTTACAATGTTAATCAAAAAACACATAAAATGATTTCTATACACACAAAATAATTTTACTTAATCAAAGTTTGACGGGATTTGGAAATATTGAAATTTTAAAAGGAAAAAGGTCTTTACTTTTATATAAATACACTGAAAACGATAGCGAACGATAGCCCTGATCGCAGGGAATCTCACGACACCCAGCAATCCCCAGTTGAGGTGGTGCTGGTGCCATGGTTGTGATGGAGGAAATCGTGGGACGCGCTGACGGACGCCCGCGAGAAGAAAACTCTGACAAGAGGCAGCAGCCCACCACATGTGGAGCAATATTGACACAGTTGAGCAATGTTCTTTGCAATGGGAGCGAAGATCCTGCCATCAACGGCAAAGGGAAGGAGGTAGTGGAGGAGGCAGCCAGGTTGGTGAGGGAGTTGAAGGTCAAACTGGGGGAGGTGATGCTGGCCAAGGTGGAAGACGCGACCGTGGCGACACGCGCACAACGCCAACCCGAAGGAGTGAAAGAAGCCAAACTGTCATCATGGGCCAAGGTCGCAGGACAGGGAATTCCAGAAAAACCAGTGCCTAACCGAACCCTCCGCGAGATTACTGTCCTACGCCGGGACTGCGAAGCCCTCCCAGCTGAGGAGGCCACCCCCCCAGCGATTGTGGCAGCCGTCAACGCCAGAATTGTGGATGTGACAAAGGGAAAGGTGCTTGCAGCAAGATGTCTCCCCAGTGGAGACATCATCCTGACAACCGACGCGAGGGAGACCAGGGAGGCCTTGACTAAGAGCAGCACATGGCTGGAAGTCTTGGGACAAAAGGCGAAGGCAAAGCACACCCTGTACCCAGTCATGGTTAAGGGAGTCCCAATGGGCAACACCAACTGGAAGGAGGAACAGCAAGCCATCAAGGCAATTTACGCACAGAATGAAGGACTCCGAAGAGGGGTACAAATTGAGAGACTGTCTCTACGACGGAATGCCAGCTTGCAGGCAAAGGTTGGGTCTCTTGTACTCAGCGTCACCTCGCCTCAGCAAGCCAACCTACTAGTAGACAATGGATTGATAATAGACAGCATATTTTGTGACGTTGAAATCTTCCACCGGGAAGCGCAGGTCACCCGGTGCTTTAACTGCCATGAGTATGGGCATACGGCCAGATTCTGCAGGCAGGCCAAAAGGTGCGGGTTCTGCGCGGCAAAAGAACATGACGACAAGGAATGCCCAGCACGAAAAGCTGGGGAACAACCGAGGTGCGCAAATTGTAGGGGAACACACCCAGCCTGGGTCTCTAAGTGCCCTGAAAGGGAGAGGGCATCAAGCAGGGCCCGTACAGCATACATGGAAAGACCCCGTAGGTTTATGGAGCCAAAAGCACAAGATGGGTGGCAGGTGGTGCAAACCAGAGGAAATAAAAGGTTACCCACTGGGGAACCAGAGGGCCAAAGAAGAGGACCAGGCCGACCCAAGGGGATTCTGCAAGCAGGCGAAGCCCAGAGAGGAGCTCTAAGTGCCTTTATAGCACCACAGAGCTCACAACCTGGGTCTCAGCTGCAGGAGGACCTAATGGACTACACGCAGACCCCAGCCCCCACGCAACAATGAGGGACACACTAAACCTCCTACAATATAACGTGCACAACTCTGCGAGAGTTATGGGTGCGTTATTGGCAGACCCTGCAACAGAAGACAAATACGACGTAATTGCAGTACAAGAGCCCAGCCGGAATCCCCACATGCTAGCAACACACTGCCCCAGAAGCTGCGGCTTCTGGCCAGCATATCACCCGGAAACACACCCAAGAGTATGCTTTCTGGTCAACAAAAGGCTCGTGGAACACACATGGGAGTGCCACTACCACTCAGAATACATTGCAGTGCTGACAATCACCACCGACCTGGGTAAGGTGCAAATAGTCAATGTGTATGCACCTCCTCCAGGGGGCTACAGCAGTGAACCGGAGGAATCCCCCATAGGCCAGCTGCAGGAGGTAGCCGGAATGGGCACAGATGCAGAGCTGGTCATATTAGGAGATCTTAATGTCCACCATGAGAGGTGGGGAGGGGTGAGAGTGGAGAGAAACTTCCGCATGGCATGGCAGCTAATAGCACAGGTGGATAGGCTGGGTCTCCAGCTTGCCACACCTGTAGGGGCTACCACATGGCAGGACAGAGGCAGCCCAGGGACGACTATAGACCTCACCTTTCTATCACCACTCCTGCACGACAAGCTCAGGAGGTGTGCAATAGCGGAGGAGGCATGCAAAGGATCTGACCATAAGCCCATGGAAACAACACTGGAACTCACACCCATCCCAAAGGAGGCTGAGAGACGAAACTGGAAGAATGCGGAGCCTGAGGAGGTAGCAAGGGACTGCCAAAAGCTATATGTGCCACAAAGCCTGGACTCCAGGCAAGCAGTCAAGGAGTATGCAGACTACCTGGTAGGATTTGTAGGGACATTAGCGGACAAACACGCCACCGTAAGTAAGGCTGGGTTAAAATCCAAGACATGGTGATCACCGAGGGTGGCCAAGGCAGTGGAGGAGTACAAGCAAGCTAGGAGGTCCCAGCTCCCAGAAATGGAGCGGCTCAGGGCACGCTGCAGGCGCAACAGAGAAATCCACTTGGCTAAGACAGCAAACTTCAGAGATCTGGTTGACAGGACCCGTGATGACCCCAGATTGATGTGGGGACTAGCAAAATGGGGCAAGGAAAGAAGCCATCTGCCCCCACAGGCACCTACTGTCCCCCCCCTGAGAACAGGGGAAGGGGCTGACGCGACGGTAGAAACCTCTTTTGAGGGGAAGGCTGAGGCATTACGACAACGGTTCTTCCCACAGCCAGAGCCCGCCGACTTAAGTGACACCAATATGGAGCTGCTGCAAGCTGAAAGGGAAGCGTCAAATGACACCATCAGTGTGGAGGACATGGAAAGCCTGATCCAGAGACTGCCAAACAGGAAGGCACCAGGGAGGAGTGGGATCACCAACGAGTTCCTTAAGATGCTGGGCAGAACATTTGTGGAGGCCATAACAGCTCTCACCAATGCATGCTGGCATTGGGAGACTTACCCAGACACGTTTAAGGAAGCCAAGACAGTGGCCTTGCGCAAGCCAGGGAAGGCTGACTACCAGACTGCAGGAGCGTGGAGACCCATTGCCTTGCTGGACACAATAGGGAAGATTGTGGAGGCAGCAACTGCAAAACGCCTGCGGAAGATCGCGGAGGACCACAACCTGCTACCCTCACAGCAAATGGGGGCAAGAAGGGGCAGGTCCACTGAAACAGCCATAGCACAACTTCTAGCCCAGATAAGGACAGTGTGGCAGCACCCGGGACAGGTGGCATCGGTACTCTCCCTAGACATGACAGGGGCCTATGACAAGGTGCTGCGGGAGCGAATGGTTCACATCCTCCGGCGACTGGGCATCCCCAGGGACCTGGTGGGATGGGTTGCGTCCTTCATGACCAACAGGAAATCCACAATTGCCTTTGAGGGCCAGGAATCAGACACCTTTGACATCCCAGCAGGCATCCCGCAGGGGTCACCCCTATCACCTATACTATTCCTATTCTACAATGAGGAACTGGTGCGCATCTGCTCAAGACCGGGGCGCCCGGTGGTGTGCATAGCCTTTGTAGACGATGTCAACGTGATGGCCTATGGCCAGTCCACTGAGGACAACTGCAGGGAGCTCCTGCGCATGCATCGGGCATGCGAGGAGTGGGCAGCACGGCACGGAGCGGTCTTTGCCCCCCAGAAGTATGAGCTAATGCACTTCACACGGGCGCGCAACCAATTCAACCTACAGGCTGAGCTGAGACTACCAGGACAAACTATACAACCGAAACAGGTGATGAGGGTATTGGGTGTATGGTTAGACTCTAGGCTGAGATGGAAGGGCCACCTGGACGCGGTGGCAGGCAAGATGAAGACTCAAGTCAGAGCACTGTCCCAAACCACCCAATCCACATGGGGGCTCCCACTACGACAAGCGAGAATGGTGTATAACATGGTCATCAGGCCGGCCCTGACCTATGGAGCAATAGCGTGGCACCAGCCACAGGGGCAGGGGGGCACGGGTCCAGCTAAGTCAGGACTGGCCCTCAAGCTGGCCACAGTGCAGAACTCCTGCCTCAGAATAGTGGCAGGGGCATACAAAAGAACCCCAACAAGCACAAAGGAGAGCGGAAACCCACACAGTACCCTTAGACATCCACCTGGAT